ATATATATATATATGTATAGTATGATTACTTTTATAATTACCTTTTAACCACTACTCTTGCAAAATTCTAATTCATCATTGACCATGGCTATTTTGATAAGTTGTTATTACAAAAGTTGAAAATAAAAAGTAACTTGAAAATAAAAAATAATAAAGAGATTTATGTTATGAATATACGTGTGAGTGTCCATTATGTTATGACCCAAGAACTTCAAATCAAGTCAATAGCGTAATGGGACAGACACAAGGAGTGTAATATGCTATTTGATTACATATGTATATATATATTTAGATTTGAATGTAGATTAGATTAGCTAAAAATTAAGATTTAATCCATCCAAATCAAACCCCTTATACATTATCTTTATCTTGTAAACTTTATCTTGTAAACTCTATCTAGATAAGGGCTTTTTAGCTTATAAATAATCTCATCACTTCATTTGTAAATACACATTTCAATAAGATTTCTAACTCTTTCTAAATACTTTCTTTTGTAAATGTTCTTTTAATTTATATTTCATAATACGCTATTAGCACGATCATTTCATTTAGTTTTCATCATCATCTCAAAGTTGAAGTTCTATTTTCGTTAATGAATCAGTATTCATCTTAAAGTCAGAGTCCTATTCATAAAGGCTTCAAGAGGGTTACGATTCTTTGACCTTTGATTTTTGGGTTTAGTGAATCAAGTAAGTGACTTGATATCCCTTTCACCTAATGTCCTTTTCTTTAGTTCCAGAACTCTTACTATGGCTCAACATGCCTAAACTCTTAAATAATTAAGGTTCAACTTTCTTCCTTTCCTTAGCTCATATGGAGTAGTTTTAATTTTTTCATTAGGGATTCTATTTAGTATATGGCAAGCCGTTGATAAGGCTTCGCCCCAAAATCTTTTTCCTAAACCTGAATTAGAAAGCAAAGCATTGACTATTTCCATAAGAATGCGATTCTTACATTTCGCTACATCATTTTGTTCTTAAGTGTATAAAGCGGTAATCTCATAAATAATACCAGTGGACCCAAAATACTTGAGATCATAATATTTACCTCCTCTATCACTTTATAAATATTTGATAAGCAATTCACAATACAATTCAATTTCATTTTTATAAATTCTAAATTTCTCTATTGCTTCATCTTTAGTATGCAATAAGTAAACATAGCAATATCTAGAAAAATTTTCTATAAATGTTACAAAGTATTTCTTTCTACTAATAGATAGAGTACTAGGTATGTCACAAACATCATAATGTATTAATGCAAGTAATTTGGAGTTTCTTTCTATCTTAGGAAATAAACTTTTTGTGATTTTAGTAACCATGCATGTCTTGCACATATCATTATTTACATCAATGTTGGGTATTAACTTTAATTTAGCCATATCATGCATTCTTCTATAATGAACATGACCTAATCTATTATGCTATAAATTAGACAAAGTTGCTTTACTATCATGAACATTAAACGAGGCATCAATATAAGTAGAATTAGTAATATTCTTATTAACATTAAGTTTGAACATGTTTTCACAAAAATATCCACTTCCCACATATTATTCACTTTTTGTAAGGATGAACTTATCTGCTTCAAATACTAATTTGAAACCATACTTATTCAACAAATCACCTGACACAAGATTCTTTCTAATTTCTGGCTCATAATAGATATTGTTTAGTACAAGCATTTT